GCAGCCCAGCTCCAGGTTGAGCTGTTGTTCAGCATCTTAGTTGTAGAGGGCAGTGTCACTGGCCCTCACATGTGGGATTCGAACCAGGGCCCTCTGGCGTCCCAAGCTGGCTCTTAACCAACGCGCCAATCGGCCGGCCCAACACTTACTTCTTAAAGATGTTGTAGATCAAGAAGGTGACTCTTTCCAGCAGAAGTGGTCTTTGCATCGGGATGGGATCACCTTCATAAGTCATTTTGGTAGATTGCTCCTCTAATTTCTCCAATTGCCTTTTGAGTTGGAACAGACTTTCTGCCAACAGTGTAAAGCTATTGAATAGCAAATGAAAATCAAAGATAGTTTTTCCACTTAATCTACCATTTTAACATGTTAACTATTAAAATATTAAACTAATTAATCACTTGCTCCCATAAAAAGTTAGTGACAGCTCTTTATGTTTTTTTTTAATCCATTTTTCTCTAAAATGCACGATGCAATGTTAAATGTTTTCAAGGTTTTCTAATTTATACCTTCAGTTACAGACAAGAAATTCTTTTTAATTATCCTTTGTTTAAAAGTCTATTAAACATATATATGTTAAGAATTTGGCACTCACTAAAAGACAAAGAAAGAGCAAATTTAAAACTAAAAATACATGATATGAAGAATGTTATGGGTAAGAATACTGAAGAAGAAAAACAATATGAAATGGATTCCTTCCCCTCATGTGTTTTTTATAAGCCCTAGATATTAGCCAAAAACTATCAATGGAGATCTCTGGAGAAAGGTTTCTGCTTGGAATTTTATTCACTATGTGGTGATCTCACCTTGGAAATGGAGATGGGAGGCTGCGCCGGAAGTTTAGGGTAGGAGGGAGATTGAAATGGACTTGGAAGAGACCTTCAGCTATAGAGGAGGCAGAATGTCTCAACAGACTTCATAAGTCCATTTGGCCCTGACAGCAGCTCTTTCTATTAAAAAGGTTATTCCCCACGTAACACTGTGGACAGAACTGTCAATCCCCCACTGAATTTGATATGACCACCACTATCTGCTAAGTTCTTTATTGCTCCCTTTGTTGTTTATCTTGTTTTCATAATAACAGAGTAGAGTGAAGTTAGAAACTCAATGTATCTCCCCAAGGAAAATCAATATGTTTTTTAAAAAAGCCCAATTCCTTACTTTTTTTGAGAAGTTTACCTGTCAGGGCAGAGCTTTTTGTGCAAGTGTCCCCAGTTACTATATATCTTTATTTATTGAATTGTTCCCTTTGAAAACACATTTAGATTTCAGCTGAGCATTTTCCTTCTTTTTCATTATATTTTCTAATTTTTTTCAACCAGATAGTTTTATGTTTGCATTAATGAATAAAAAAACCCTCTGAACATTTTTTTCCTCTAATACAAAGGATTGTATCCATACAGGACTGTATGCGTGCATACAGAGAGGAGATGCCATGTTGTATTAGCTATTTGAGGTTTTTCATCTAAATACAAAAATAAATTGCTTTGATGAAAACACAAAGTGATATTTAATTCTGACATGTTAAGGCACATTTAAAAATTGAGGTATCTTTTTTCAAGCTTTTGAAGCTAGTGCTTCTTATAGAAAGCCTATTTATTGCTGGTTTCAAAAATCCATGAGTCTTACAAGATTGGTATATGAGAAAATTAAGCAATTATCATGCATTCTATGAATTTCTATAGATGCTTTCATTTTCTCCTGAAAGGAATAAAAATTAAGAACACATATACAATTACATCTATGTTTTCAACTGTAGAGTCCCCCTCTGCTCATAAACCATCAATAAGCTGAATGAATTGAAGTTCTGGTCTACGCCTGTATTCTCTGGCTGAGCAACACTGAAGTTTTGTACTTCCTGTGGTTTTCACAAGAAACTAAAGTCAATGCGTTTTTACCAGTTTTGAAGCTGGTCGAGCCCGTTATGAAGTGGACCTCCGATGCAGGCAATTTGTTGCCGCCTCTTCCAGTCCTGCAGTTCTTCTATTAGCATGCTGTTCATTAACAGGTCCATTTCATTTACTATTTGTGTCATCTTACTGAGGGCTTCCTAAAAACAAAGATGACTACTGAAAAGATTTTCATGAGACACAGCCAAAGTCACTCATAATTCAACCTATGAAACAATTTATCTGACCTGGGAGGTAAAGGCTTGGTTAAAACTTTGACCAAATATCTTACCAAATACTACCATCTATTTGCCACAGAACTGCCTTTTCAAACAATTCAATTATTACAATAAAATAATGTCATGAAGAAAAAAGCATGACCACAGTTAACATTCTCTTACTATCTCATAACATCAGTTAGGATATATGTTGAATTTGTAACTCCTGTGACAATACTGAACCTTGTAGTCAGTCATAAAGCCATATATCTGCTTTTTAAAAAGGCATTTATAAATTGAATTTATATTCTTGTAAATATGTTTATATTTATTTTTAAATGTACTGATTAAAATTTGAGGCTTTCTGTGTTAGTTTTTATTAATACTTTCTTTACCTGGGTTTTGGGAGGCATAGTGGAGTATAACTTTTAAAGGCATAGGAAGTAGAAGATGTGAATATCTATCCTGGCTTTGCCATAGCTATGTGAATTTGGATAAACCATTTAACTTTGCTAGAACTGATCTGTACAAGCCGGAAGATAGACTAAATTATTTCCAGGGCTCCTTCTCTCCTTAAAATCTTACTCCTAAAGTTGAATAAGATGGCATGCATAAAATATATAGTATACATTTATTATGCATAAAACATTAAGTTTACTTTGGATTAACTATCTGCATGTTTAAAATCTGATATATAACTGTTTAAGTTTATGATTTAGGGTAAAATAAATTTCACATTTATTTGCTCTCACACAAATTCCTGCATAAAAAATGGAGCTGAACTTTTGAAAATATTGATTTATCAGTGACCAGTTAAATTTCAATGCATTTATTTTCAAGGAGAGGTAGGAAAGTGAAATAGAGATGTTTCCTCTCTTTTAAAATATTTCATTGAGCCAGAAAAAAAGTTCTCCCTCTCCTTGGGGGGAGGTTAGATTGAATATATCCAGTTGTCAATAAACTATCCTGAAATCTAGGAAATTACTTAGCTCAATGTCTTTTTTAGCATAGAAACTGAAACATTTATTCTCCCACAAGATTTTGGTAGTCGTCAAGTAATGTTTTAATTATACATATGTAGTAGAACCTCTCTCAGCATAGTAAGTACAGCAACTGAAACAGCCATACCTGAAAGAGTGGCAATAAAAATTGGGTAAAATGTTCACCTTGGTATTAATGAGTGCTGCTGTAAATGTACCACATAAGCAAGATAAATAGACTCTAGATATAGAGTTCCAGTTTTGTAAACTTAGAAGCATGGCAAGCAATATGGTACCCTTCCTAGAAACACTGCCATTTATTCATTCAGTGTGAACGTAACAAATGACATCCAAGAGCTGGATTCTTTTCGGTAGGACTAGAGGTAAGAAAGGAGAAAAACAGGCAAAGGCCCAAGTTAAAGTTCTTCACTAACCTTTCTCTTGAAGTCCAGGCTGTTGAGCATTTCTTGCAGAGTCAAAACTTCCTGACTCATTAGGGTGTTGTTCTTGTCACCTTGATCTGCATAGGAAAAGAGATCAGATTTAGAGTCCTCTCCAAGACAAAGCTCTCTGTCCTGTAAGCAAAGTCTACTGCAGTCACCCTCCTAAAATCGTAGGATGCAATTGCCTAAGTGGGGCCATTTTAGATATGAGCTTGGATATAAGTCTGTTTATTTGGCTAGGAAGGATTACATCCAAACACAAGCACACCAGAGAGGAGCTCTGTATTGTACAGACCTTGAGTAAAGACCATTCTTCACACCAAGTTCCTTTTGGGAGTGGGGAGAGGAGGTAAAAAAGTTTTTGTAATGGATTCTTTATTAGATACCTCTACATTGACAATAACCTTGGTTGATTGGCATAAGTATGAAAGAAAAGAGGCCTCTCTTTGAGTCCATGATTAAATCATAGCTGACTCCTCCTGATGTTTTCACCCACCACTTCCTGCTCCACCTGATACCTAGGAGTTAGGAAACTGCCTGGTAGAGTTACAGTTTTATCTACTTGGTCTCATGAACTAATAACAAAGACTAAACCCCTTGCATGCCCTTTTTTCTTTGCAAAATGGGCTAGCCTCACAGTAAAACTACAAGTGGGAAAAAGTTGCAAAATTTAAAAAACAAATCAAACAAACAAAAAAACAACAACTCTGACTAAAAAAAAAAACCCAAAATGATTTAACCTTTTAAATGGGAGATGTGCAATAAAAATGGTAGTACTTAATCTGAACATTAAACTTTATTGGTACATAGCAAGTGATGGTTTCTACCAACCACTCATGTCTATGAAAAGTGAAGGTTGTTAATGCTGATCTGACTTGTGTAACTGTGAAAAAGAGGCCCCAGAACAACACTGTGCCAAATTTCTCTACAAAATAACCCTGATCTCCAGGAAGTCATTCTGGGTTGTTTTAATTCATAAATTCACTAACTCCTAGATCCCATATGTAGTAAAATTTTGCTTATATAGCATTTGACCAACTCAAAACTTCATTAGCTAAAACTTTCCAGTTTTCACTAGCAAGGATATAACTTGTTCCCACGTAACTCTCTTTCATTTAATTTCACTTATAACCAACAAAATACTTGTTGATTTAAGTGATAAAATCATTACTTTTATTCTTCATAATGCTCATGGAGTACTGAAAGATATTAAAATAACTCTCATTGTAATATATTAAGTTGAAAAGAATTTTATTTTTTACTGTATTTTGTTATATTCTAATTCTTAAAATTGATAGTTCACATATGAAATTTGGAATGATGCTTCTTTCAATGAACTGTAGTGTTTGATTAAATTTGCAGTTCTAAATCTTTTCAGAATCATAGACCCCTTTGATAATCTGATGAAACCCATGTTTGTGCCATATCTTCTGAAGGAAAGCCTTACACATACAATTTGAACATTTAAGTAACATTTCATGGGAGTCAAGACAGCCTAAAGATAAAAGAAAAAAAAAAAGACATCTGGAAGATGCCGGAAGAACATGTCATGTCTCACCTATGCTAGGAAAAACAAGTTTCCTAATATCCTGTCTTTTAAATCTTAGATGAAAAGTTAAGCATTTGATCAAAGTCATTCATACTGCCTTCCAGATAAATTTTAATAGCTAACATTTCAATAGTTAAACATGATTCTGTAAATGAAATTTTTATATTCAATTTGTTTTTAGAAATTATTTTAAAGTAATTTTAGAATTTCAAAATTTGCCAAAATAATAGAGTTCCCATATATCTGTCCTCTGTCTTACATAAACATAGTACAATGATCAAAGCCAGTAAACTAACATTGATACCATCCTATTAACTAATCTAGACCTAATTAGAATTTCTCCAATCATCCCACTAATTGCAACACACTTTAAACAATCCATTATTACTTGTAAATCTTTATTACTTATAAATCTTAAACCTAGCAAATAGTCTCTTTCTTTCCTTCCATTTCTTAAAAAAACACTTAATTGCAAACAACTTCAATGTTTAATCACAGAGATAGTCAAATAAATCACAGTGTCCTTACATATTGTCATTTATACAATTACTGAAATTATGTTTTGAAGATTTTTTATGATATGGGAAAATACTAAAAATAAAACTTTAAAATGCAACACACAAAACTATGTACAAGATTATCTCAATATTTTGCAAATAAATAGAATTATGTATTTGAACATACAGGAAAAAGGCTGAAAGGAAATATACTAACTTTTTAAAAAA